ATCATATTATGTCATAATTACTTCGGCGATAGCGACTTGCATGTTTGAAGCTTCGTTGTAAAATTCGCCACGGATGTAAATATAGGCCGCTTTCGCACCCATAGCCTTACCGGCAATCAAACAACCTTCGACTAACTTATGGGGATCGTGTCTCATAATTTCACGATCCTTGCAGGTGCCAGGCTCTCCCTCATCAGCATTGACAACCAAATACTTAGGACGACCGTCGCTGGGCTTGTTCATGAAAGACCATTTCATGCCAGAGGGGAAACCAGCTCCTCCTCTTCCACGCAAACCGGATACTTTAACTTCATCTGCAAAAGTATTTATATTTAATTTAAGCACAAGATTATTTAACGAAACACTTACTGATAATCCAATCAGCCCCCTTCAATAAGATTTCTTTTGTCTTATACCAATCACCACGTTTCAGAGCACCCTTAAGTCTCCAATCATGTTTTCCATACAAGTTGGTGAAAACTCTGTCTTCATCACACAGGTTTCCAAAGGTTGTTCTTGTCTGAGGTGGAGGGGTGCCCGGTGGTGGGTTAGAGTAGAACATAACTTGTCCATAATTGGCAAAAGGTGCGACGGCGCCTAAAACAAAACAAACATACTTAATACATAGTTTGGATGCATAATTGGATCTAATAAGTACATTACGTAGAGGGTATTCTATGAATAATCTAATTAGTACAATATTTAAATCAAACACTACCCAGCAGATAGAGTAAATAGGTTTTTTCTGACAATTATATAACCTTTCAAATATGTGATAATGCCATTACAAAGATGCAAGGCAAGGAATTTATATTATAGGAATATATCTCTGTTCACTTAGAATTGGTTTTTGCTAAGATTACTTTGATTTATAATAAATAACACTTACCAATTTGGGATTTAGATAAATTTGTAATTCTAGCAAGAGCACCTGCCATTTTGCCGTTGACAGCAGCAATGTGATGTCAAATACATGTCAATTATGCAATACTGGTTGCGGTTTTACTAACTTCCCTAATTTAAAAATAAATTATGTTAAATGCTTAAAAAACATTAATTGCAGCAATAATCATTAAATACATCAATAATTATAATTAATTAATGTTTAAATTAATCAGAAATAACAATAATTGAGGTTGATAACAAGGAGATGTATATAACCATTTTAAATTTTTGTGGTTTGTGTGCAATTGGTTGCTAATACAATTTCTTCTAAATTTAAAATAATTTAAATGTAATACATAAAACATGTATTTCAGAAAGAAAAATAATAATTTTCATTGATTCATTATTAAAATACTTGTTTTTAAATTGTTAAATCAATATCTGTTGTATAAATTAATAAACAGTATAAACAATATAAAATGATGATTGTTAGTAATATAATTATTTTATATTAAAATAATTCTATAATATGTGATTAGAACGAGTATTTTACTTGTACATCTTCATAAATTGTTATTTGATTACAAATTGACTCTATTTTACTAATTATTTAACAAAAGAATCCGTAGGACACGGTTCAAAATGTTAAAGAAATGTAAAATAGATAGTTTTCTTGTTGGAAATAATACATAAAACGTATTAATCGATTGTAGCTTCAACGTGCCAGTTTGGTTTGCTGGATTTACCAGGTCCTCTAACATTTTGATCGATGTGTGCGTTAATTTCGGCACCAGGTCTTTTATGGTTGATATCGACACCAACATTCGTAGTTCCAGCTTTGTCAGTCCTAATGCTTGGATTAACAGAAGTCTGTGGTCCTTGAGGTCTTGGAATCGGCGGTGACCAGACTGGTCCTGGCCTTGGACGGTTCACCTGGCTCACGAATCTTCTTTGGCGAAAAACTTGCTCATCTTGTCTCTCAAATGCATCCAGTTCTTCAGGATTTCCATCGTTGTACGGATAACAAGCAACGAATGCAATTAATCCGACGAAAACAAGTTGCCTAATCATCTACAAATTTAAACAAATACAGTTTTTGCTTATTCTAAATTATTGCAATATTATACACTTACGTTTTTCTGTAAATTATTATTAAATATATTTGTTTATTTCAGTTGACAGAGTGATACTGTTCAAATTTGTATTCTACCTCTTTATATATTAAGTTTTAATCGTACAAAACGCGGGGATTTACGCTGGGAATTTCGCATGGGGATTTATTTATATATTCAACAGTAAAGAGATTAGAGATTATCTGTCCTCTTATATTTGTTGCGAAAATATGTATTTTTATCATCAACAATAATAAGTAACAGTAAAACAATTTCAATTAAACAGAACCATGAAACATTTTATAATACATCAGTTTTAATTTCAAAATAATATTAAATTATAAACATTTAATATCAATAATACTGATTTATTGTAAAATCAGATTATGTTATAATAACAAATCAGTTTGAAAAGATATATAAGCATGTCGGCAATCTTGGCTGCAATTCGTGTTCAAATTTTAAAAAATG